GAATCTCTTTTTCAGTGTCACATTTTTTTATTGTGTCACTTTTTCTCTTTTTCTATTAAAAAAGTGACAATTAATTTTATACGGTATTTTTTACTTCCAAAATATATTTCATATGATTTTTCAAAAGACCCTTAATTTTAAAGGTACTTTTGTAAGTTCCCCAAGAATAAAATGGGTTCAATATAACATCAAATTTTGTATATAATTGTACATATATATGAGGGTAGTTAAAATATTATTGAAAGCTACTTCTGCAGTTATTCCTCGACAGATGTAAGCAGAAGTGTAAATGACAATATTTTCAAGAGTTAGTCGATGAGTACAGCAAAAATCTACAAAAAATACACTTGGAAACTTTTCATTGGACGAAAACAAAAGACAAACAAACAGGCAAATAAGGTGCTTCCCGTCAGCACCATGTTTTTATTCTGGCAAATAATCACGTACTTGCAGCTTTATTCTATTTTCAATGACCTAAATAATTTGATATTCAGTATATATATCTACATGTTATGTCAACACTTTGTAAAGATAGTAACTTACTGAGTATGGTTTGATCTTAAAGACTAAACGTTTGTTTTGGAGAGGTTTTTCATGTAAAAAATAATTTTTAGAATATATGTGCGGTTAAATAGGAAAAAATTATGCCTTTTTTTATTTGTACATTCAGGGTTACATCTTTCTTAAAGGGCCTCGCAATTATTTTATTATGCGCGAGTCCCCTCTTATGAGAGACTGGGATAGACAAACAATAAAACCTCTCCCATTTTTCCAAACAAATATATATTTGTGACTTTTGCTATAAATTTCGTCTGCCTTGTTGGCTGGGAATTATCGGACTTACTGCTTAACCCTAATAATGGTCCTGACTAGCACAGTTCTTTAGCAAAATCTACTTGCTTTTTGCCATGTTTGTTATGAGCCTTCCCTAACTTTAACAGAATTGGTAAGTACGGACTAGCATTAATACCTCCAAGAGGTTGCCACTAGTCTCTCTCGTATTTTGTGTATGTAAAAAAAATTAATTTAAGATACCGTTTGAGCCACATTAAAATTCTCATTCTCATACTTCTATTCATTTTCAACCACACTTTTTTTAATAAAATAATATTTTTCATCACATCAATGACGTTTCTTTTTTTTTGAACCACACATTCTCCATCAATTTACTATTCCAAAATTCATTCTTCCTAAATAATATGGGTCAAACACACCCTAAAATTATTGATGAGTAAGTGTTCTAAAAAGTTCATCTAGACGACGCATAGGCACCATCTAGGCTCGAAGCTCGGAAACAACGCGTCGCTTCGCTTTTAGACGGTTTTTGTTTTTCCAAATTCTAAATGGTTGAATTTTTCCTCGTCTCTTTCGTTTCCCCTAGGCGCACTTTATTGGTTTTTTTTTTGTTTTAAAAAGTATTTTATTTGACTTTAACTTATTAATTTTTTTTTTAAACTTTTCATTTGACTTTAATTTCAAGTTTTTAAAAGATTTTATGTGTACAAAAGTTAAAAATAATTTTATCTAAATAATTAAATAAGATT